AGATTAATATTGACACAAGATTATTAACTAAACTATAGATTTTATTTGGCTTTCTCCTGTTTTTTCACTAATATGTTTTTTCAATTCTAAGATCTAATCCTGGATTGCTTATAAGAGACTAGTAAAAAGTGAAATTATATAGAATACAATAGAAAATATCAGGGTACATTGCACAGATTAAGGATAAGCACTGTTGTATAAAACTTGTTTCCACTGTATACATAAGTTGTAGTCTTACTGAAGGTGGCAGTTAAAAAAAATAAAAAGAGACACAGTCTTAGAAGACACCAAAGGATTAAGTATTCTTGCCATCATAGAGATTAATATTCGAGTGAAAAGCAAAACAAAACACTTAAATACAACAATGTGAACACTAGTTCAAAGTCAGAAAATGCAAAATAACACAGGACAGTAGGACTGTCAGAGGGCATAGCAAGGTAGACATCCTTTCATTCTTCTCATACTGATGTACTGAACAGCCTTGTCCTTTGGAATAGAACATACTGGCCCCCTTCATATTGTTGAGTTACATGGAATTCTTGGATCAAGCAGCTGAACGCATCATAGGAACTCCCCCCACACAATGCCCGAGCCCTGTACTGCTACCCTGGGCCCTTTTCCCAGGCCCAGCTTTGTCCCTAGTGAACTAATTAATAGTTATGAAGTGGTTGGTAAAATGCTGTTTTTATATGCACTTTCTCTTCTGGGGCTCAGTTTCCTAATCTGTAAAATGCAAACATGACTCTTGCCCTGGCTAACCTCACAGGGCTGTTGAGAGAATCAAGTAAAAAGAAGAGAAGTGTTTTTGTAAGTTGTTAAGGACTATACAGATCTATGTAAAAATTATGATTTCAGATATAAATTTTCATTGCTATTATTGTTCTTTGGACAGTAAACATTTTGACAACAAGGATTATATTTATAACCCTAGTACCTATTACCATGCTCAGCCCATTGTAGGCTCTCATGGCAGACTCATCTCTATGGAGAGATAGGACCTGGCCACACCTTCCCCTCCATGAACTTGCAGATATTCACGCATCCCAAAGGCATCCCACCTTGGTCTTGTTCCTCCACCCAGTGGGGCAGGGTCAAGGTACATCAGCTCTGACTGGTCCTGCAGATTTGGATCTCAGCATGGACCTTCTACCTTACCTACTGGAGAGCCACCCACTTCAGTTTTTATTTTTATTTCTAGGAATTTTCCATTGATAGATGAATGGATAAAGAAGATGTGGTATATACATACAGTGCAATATTACTCAGCCATAAAAAGAATGAAATCTTGCCATTTATGACAATATGAATGGACCTAGAGGGTATTAAACTAAATGAAATAGGTCAGACAAAGACAAATATTGTATGATCTCACTTATATGTAGAATCTAAAAAGCAAAACAAATGAACAAACAAAACAAAACAGAAGCAGACATAGATACAGAGAGCAAACTGGTGGTTGCTAGAGATGGGGAAGTGGAGTGAATTAAGTGAAGGGGATTAAGACATACAAACTTCCAGTTATAAAATAAATAAGTCATGGGGATGTAATATACACCATGGGGACTACAGTCAGTAATACTGTAGTAATTTTATATTGTGGCAGGTGGTTACTAGACTTGTTGTGGAGATCATTTTGTAATGTATTTGATTGTCAGATCACTATGCAATACCCTTGAAACTAACATAGCATTATATATCAACTATACTTCAATAAAAAATGTAAAATTTATTAGATTATCCTTTAAAAAAAGTTCAAAACACACAGATACACACACATACATGTATAAGTAAAATAATGAAAATCACAACCAAGAAAAGCAAATCTTACCTATAATCCCCAGCTTTAAAAAATTATATAAAGTCTACAAAAGTCCTGCTATCTTCATCCTTCCAGTTCCCAAGAAATAAGCACTCTCAACAAATTTTCCTATATTTATGTTGACATATTTGCCTCCATTTTAAAAAACAAAAGATGAGATCATATTATACAAAATTGCAACTTGTGTTTTGTTTTGTTTTGTTTGTGCTCAACAACATATGAAAGACATCTTTTTAGGACAGTACATAGAGATCCACTTACTTCCTTTTAACACCTGCATAGTATTCTGCTATATAGGTGTATCATTTGTTTATTTAATTAGTCACCTATGGATGGACATTAGTCTGCTTCCAGATTTGTGTAGCCACAGGACTGCAGTAAACATTCTTGAACTTCATGCATTTGTGCTATTTTTTTTCTTGATAGAATAGACTCATAAAGGTGGTATTGCTGGGTCATAGTGGAAATATGCTTTTAATATTAGTAGATGCTGTCAAAGTACTTTCCAATAAGTGTATATCAGTTTACACTTCCACCACTAGTGTATGAGGGTGTCCATGCAATTGGCATTATCAATCATTTGTGTTTTTGAATCAATGTTCTTAAGCCCATCAAACTGAATGTGGCAGAAGTGTTGTACTGTCTTACTCAACATCCAGTGCAACTGCCTTTTGGTATGTCTTCCTGTACTGGAGCATGTAGAACCAAATCACATTTCCCAGACTTGTTTCCAGTGAGGGTCCACAAGTCAGATATACTCTTGCAAGACCTGAGTTTGGAACTGAGTTAAGTGGGGTGAGGGGCAGTGCAGAATGTAACCATTTGTGCTGGTAAGAACTGCAGAAGATTGCAGGGTTCTGGAGTCAGCAACCTTGAGAGAGGCTTCCTAATTGTGGGAGGGTCGCAGTTCCCTTGGTGGCTCCCACCAGTAGGACTTAAGGGTCACTCCTGAAAGCTCAGCCTGAAGTTTTTATCTTTAGAATTCCCAGTGATCCTTCATGTGATTTCATACCCTGAAATAAATATTTTTATGCTTACACTGTCTACAGTGGATCCTGTGGATTGTTTCCTATTGTATGAAATTGTGTGACACTGTCACATTATTAACCTCTTTGAGTCACAGCTTCCTTATTTATAAAAAAGAGGGTTACATGGAATGATGAATTCAAAGTGACTGACTCACTCTGGGCTGGGTTCAACAAGGTTTGTGAGTGGCAGGTCTTTTTTCTCTTCCTTCTTTTTAAACTCACTTATCCTGTAAGATCCAGCTCAAATGCCATTTCTTAATACCCCTGGGTAGGTAGAATTATTGCTGTCTTCTCTGGGGTCTCACTGAATTTAACTAATTCCTTTACAGTTCATAACATGTTGTACTATGATTTATTCATATATGTGTTTGTTTCCCCAACTAGCTTTTGAGCTCTTTGAGGGCAGGGGTGTTCTTGATCCATCTCTATTTCCAGGCCCTGACATAGAGCAAACGATGAGTGAAATGTGTTGGTTGAATGAATTAGCTCTCGCCCTGCATCACTGGACTCCTCAGTTTCCCACCCCTTGTCAACTATCATCAACTCTTAATGCCCCCATTGGTATCTTAGACCGAGATCACTTGGCTACAATGAACAGGAAGCCTTCTAAACTTCTAAACTAGCCCAAGCAAAGACTAATATATCAGTTAAGCTTCAGGTGCAGGAAACAGAAATCACTTTAGCTATTGTAAATGGAAAAAGATTTAAAGAGGAATGAGGTACTTACAAGATTGTTGCAAATTTAGGAGGAGTGAGTTGTAGGCTGGACCTCCAGGAATAACTCTCAGAACAACACTGCCAAACTGACTTGCCAGTGGAACTGCCACCTCTTGTATAAAGCCTACCAATGGAAATACTGATGTTTAGGAATACACAACATAGCTGCAACTGAAAGGTCAGGCTGCTGCTGCTGCTGCTGCTGCTGCTGTTGCTGCTGCTGCTGCTGCTGCTGCTCTGACAACTACCTTTAGACACCCACAAAGTTAGTGACTGGCCACCAAGATACTGTTACAGAAAAACCCAAATTCTCCATAACTGTTCTTCCCAGCAAAGCAGTAGCCAAAGTAGCAGGAAGATGATCTCTGCCTCACTTCTGCCTTCCCAAACTTTCATTCCATTTTGGAAGATGGTTTAGCAATTCTGACAGAGTTAAATATGCATTTACCCTACAACCTGTCCATTTTACACCCAAGAGAAATGAAAAAATATATCCACACAAAGACTTGTGCATGAATGATCATAGTAGCTATATTCACAATAGCTAAAAACTTGAAATGTCTATCAACAATTAAATGGATAAACTAATGGTAGTATGTACATACAATGGAATACTACTCAGCAATTAAAAAGAAGTACTGACTGACACATGAACAACATGGATGATCTCAAAAACATTATGCTGCATGAGAAAACAGGCACAAAGAAGTACATACGGTTCCATTTACATGAAATTCTAGAACAGGCAAAATTAATTTATAGTGATAGTAAGCAGGTCATTGATTTTGGGGGGGTGGGTGTGGGTAGAGGATTGACAGTAAAGGGGCACAAGGGAACTTGCTGGGTCAGAAGGGGTGTAGTAGTGGTTATAAGGGATATACATTTGTCATAACTCATCAAGCTAAAATAAATACTTAAAATAGGTGTATTTTTACTCCATGTAATTTATCTCAATAAAGTTGATCTTAAAAACTTGAGCAAAAGTTCTGAACAGACACTTTACAAAAGAGGATATCCAAATGACCAACAAACTTCTGAACAGGTTTTCAACCTCATTAGTAGTCAAAGGAATGCAGATTAACATAATGAGATAATCCAACATACCCACCTGAATGATTAAAATAATAAAGGCCGATAATAGCAAGTATCAGTGGTGATGTGGAACAACTGGAACTCTAATACATTGCTGGTGGGAGTGTGAATTGGTTCAATTATTTTGGAACATTGGTTTGGCATTATCTGCTAAAGCTGGTTTTATAATGTGAAACTATAGAAGAAATCTGCTTAGTCTGTGGCAGATAGCTTTGGTACTTGTCACATTACTTTAGCCCACTTCTGATTTCAGATGAAGTTGCGGTAAACATTTCCAACTCTCCTCTTGGTGCTAGTGTGTCACCTCCAGTATACACTTCACATCTTTCCTTATTCTGCCTCAGGACCTCCTCTGACATCTGTAGACCTGCAAGCAAATCCACTAGGTCCATGGGAATCAACAGCCCTGGGGACAATTGTCATCCAGTGAAGGATGCAAACCAGTGGATAAAAGCTCTCATCTTTCAGGTGTTCTGTTCTGGGAGGCATTCTGTATGTTTCTCTGAGGTTCTGGCAGAAGTGAGACCCTCAATAACAGAATGCCTCCCAGAACAGAACACCTTTCCCTTGTCTCGTTTCTGTTTTCTAGGATCACCTCCCAAATAAACTACATGAACCCAAGTATTTATCTCAGGCTCTGCTTTTTGGGAAACCTAAACTTGGTGGTTGGTACCAGGAGTGACCCTAGGTGTACACCCTCAGGATGGGATTCTGGAACCAAATCACTCACTGAACAATGGCAACAAGGACTCTATTGGTGGTAAGTTGAACAGTGATAGCCCCTGATATGCTGTGCTGTCACAACAGCTAAGGTCTTCACGTGTGAAAGACTGGAAGTACAAGAATAAGGGATACATCAGATTGTGTAGTAGCTCTAGCACAGGGATTCTTAACTATTTAAAAAAACATTGCCCCCTCTATGGAGAAAAATTAAATTTAATGTATCTTGGGTGGGGAGGTGGGCAAAAGAGGTGAAAGTGGTCCAAAGGTACAAACTTGCAGTTATAAGATAAATAAGTCCTGGGGATATAATATACAGCATAGTGACTATATTGTTTTTGTATATTTGAAAGTTGCTAAGAGAGTAGACTTAAAAGTTCTCATCGGGGAGAGGGTATAGCTCAAGTGGATAGGGCACATGCTTAGCATGCATGAGGTCCTGCAGTCAATCCCCAGTACCTCCACTGAAAACAAATAAATCTAGTTACCTCCCCTCTGGCCAAAAAATAATAAAATAATGCAATAATAAATAAAAATAAATAAAATACTCAAAAAATTCTCATCACAAGAGACAAAAATTGTAACTATACAGATGGATGTTAACGGAACTTATGGTGGCAGTCACTTTGCAGTATATATATGTATCAAATCATTTTGTTGTACACCCAAAATGAATACAATGTTATATACAAATTATAAGTCAATAAATTGTCCCTAGCCAGAGAAATGAAACACTAAGGAATAAGATTTTGTCAAACAGGGTTGAGCTTTGGAGGCCACAACCACTGTAAAATCTAAGATGTTTTCTGCCCACCTAAGAACAAATTTTTACTTTCTTGGGGGAGTGGGAAGAGCCTATCGTCCTCAATGAGAATGCATGCTCTAGCACTTGAATATACTGGCATGAGTGTAATGTTAATTATAATTCATGGAATTGGCTGGATTTTGTTAACTATCTTAAAAGCCCTGAAGACAAAGAATTTCAGGCTCAGGTCATCCACATATCAATTTAGGACATGTATGAGATGCAGAAGACCTCCATGGAAGACTTTTTTAAAACCCTCTTTTCCTGCACTGGAGGACAGAATATACTGAAAATCAGGCCCAGAATGTAATAGTTGGGGTGTCAGAGATCCCTTGACTATTCTCTCATGCTAAAGCCAGGGTTCCTGTAGGTAGGGAGTGGGACCCTGAGGCCTGGGATGGAGACATTTGGGTGGATGCAACAATGAACCTTGCACCTCTAGCAAGCAACTCCTCCTACTTGTTAGCATAGAGCAGTCATCCTTGATTTGAGACTGTATTAGTTTCCTATTGCTGCTGTCACTATCACAGATGTAAATGTAGTGGCTTGATACAACACACATTTAAGGTGTCAGAATGGCTCTGTTCCTTTCTGGAGACTCCAAGGAACAATCTGTTTTCTTGCCTTTTCCAGCTTTTGGAGTTGTTTTTATTCCTTAGCTGGTAGCTCTCTTCCTCTGTCTTCAAAAGGTGGGTGGAGTGCTTTTCACATTAATCACACCTGACATCTGTAATCTAATTTACCTCTTCCTCACTCTTCTGCTTCCTTTTCTGTTTAAGGATCCATGTAATTACACTGAATCCACCTGTATAATCCAGAATAACCTACCCATCTCAAGATCTTTAATTTAATTACACCTGCAAAGTTCCTTTTGTCATGGAAAGTAACATATTCATTGGTTCTGAGGATTAGGATGTGAACATTTTTAGGGAGCCATTATTCTACCCACTACTGAGACCATGCAATAACAGTTTAGATTAGAATTAATTTGCTGGGTTATGATCTTGGGTTAAGTTACTTAACCCCTCTGCACCTCCGTTTCCTTACCAATAAAATGGGAGGGGGAACAGGAGTCTATCTCAAAGGGTTGTTAGATACTTAGAAGAGATAGTGCTTAGAACAGTATCTGGCACATGATAAGCATTACCCGAGCATTTATTAAATACATTTTTATAACACCGATTCTTACTATGTGTCAGGCATTATTCTAGATGCCGGGAATACGGATAGCATGGGTAGGAATATGACTTGCTCTCAAGGAGCTCAGGGTGTCAAACACACAAATACAGTTGCTACACTATGTGCTACATGCCATAAAAGGCATGGAAGTAATGTAAGATTACAGCATTGTGAAGGCACATGGAAATTTAAAAAGTATTAGTTGAATGAACAAATGAACAGGACGTTTGAGTTGGGCTTTGTAGAATGAATAGATGTTGGCCAGTGAGATAAAGAGAGACGGGCTCAGAGACATGAAACGTGTGTTCAAAGAACATTAAGTAGCTTTTCAGTGTGGCTGGAACAAAAGATATACCATGTGAGATGAAGTTAGAAAGTCACCAAGGTTGTACAGGGTCAAGTTAAAAAGTTTGGATTTCATCCTTAAAGCAACAGTAGTGTTTCAGAGTATTTAATCAGGGGAAGGCATCAGATTTGTAGTTTTAAAAGGCGACTCTGGTTACCAGGAAAAATGAATGGGTTGAACCTGGAGAGGCTGAAAGCTGCTCCAGTTGTCCAGTTGATGGTAATGAGTGAAGAGAAGGGCAGGGGCTTGAGAAACATTTAGGAGACTCTGCAAGAACTGGTGACCCATTAGCTAAGTGTGGTGAGAGGAAGAATGGGAGCTATAGTCACGTTTCTGGCTTAGCGGATGGACTGCTTGATGGTGGTCCATTCAAAGACCAGGAAGTAACAAGAGAGTTGGGGTAAAGTTTGGGGTAAAATGGTAATAGGAATAACCAACATTCCAAAGGGCATAATACATGCTAAATTGTACTTACTATCCTTACGTTAGATCAAGTGAAGGGTATACAGGTACTACTTACGGAGAAATTGTGGCTTAGAAATGTTACGGTCCTATCACTAACATTTGTACAGCTGGGATTTGACGCAAAGTAATCTGATTCCAAACCCTTAGTCTCTCGTGTTGTTTCAGTTTTGGGCATGTGGAATTTGAGATACCGGTGGAGTATGCAAGCATTACATTGGGAAATACGTTGGAGACACTGGAAAACAGTATGAGCTCAGGAAAAAGGTTTGCGTTGAATGTAGCCTCCGTGGTAGAGAAAATCGGGAAAGGAAGCCCCCCTTTCGGTCAGTTCACAATAGTTGAAACTTTCATTATCATTTCTTTGCCCCCCCACCCCAAAAAAACCCCGTATAATAAATGTCTGGCTCTGAGGTGACTGGAGATGGGGTAGTTTCCAAATTCAACGCTTGGCAACGAGCTAGCGGATGCGGTGGTTCTCTGTAACCTGAAGAGGAACCCAAGACTAGGGGGTCAGCCGTCTTTTTCGACCCTGACTACACTACTGACGCCCCCGAAACCGTTCCAAAACCTTCCTGGAGAAAGGCTGGGTCAAAGCACCCTGCAGCAGCAGGGAGCGCGGGTCTGGAAAAGAGACTCGAAAAGAGACTCGGGCACAATGACATCACGCGGCAGCCGAGTGATTCCCCTGCCACTGGCGTCACGCGCCGATGACGTCATTCTAGGAGCTCGCCCTCCCCCACTCCTGGGTTGGCT